TTAGAAAGCCCAACACCTGACGATTCCATATCAGTGTTTGTTTTTCAAAAAAATTCAAATTTGATGGAGAAAATGCAATTTTAAATACCAACACGCCTATTCCACTAGTAATTTTGTAACTTGGTTTTCTCCACTTCGGAAGCAGCTAGAACAAAAAATTTTTCACTGTTAAATAGGGCATTGTTTGTGTACATACAATTTAAAAAATAATAATGAAACTATATATTATGTGCAAGTCCATCTAATTGTTATAGAAGTGATGCTGCAGGATGCATTATAAGATGACGAAGACGTTTACTATAATCTAAATATTTTTTATTTGGAGCAATTTTTTATCCAGCATTAAGTTTGATTGTTTGACAATGTATAGAATTTTCTTCATTTTGTAAACTAGTTATAAAAGACCAAAGAGATGGATATTGACATTGCATAACAGAACTTAAACCACGATGCCATGATTCAGCTGAATTATTTGTGCGCATAGATAGTTCAGTTGTTCTTTGATACATATTCCAAAATTCAATTGGGAATAATAGATCTGATCTACCAGTTGGTCGATGTCTACCTAAATATGTGTCTTCAAAATAATTAAGTAATGGTTGATATAATGATGGTAATGCATTATATAAATCATCAAAACCTTGGCCGACATCGGACACCGGAAGAAAAACAAGTGCACTAATTTTATGTACATTGTGTGCAAATATTGGATCAGTTTCGTAATTAGTTTTGAAACCTAATATCTAAACGTAGGAAAATATATCACATAGTCACGCGTTCGATTATAATTATTAATAAAAAAGAAAACACTAAAATATATACTTGTACTTTTCTTTGAATATTGTTTTATAAATGAAAAAAACATCGTGAAAGTGATGGTGTGACAAAGCTAACCCGAAAAGCATTATAAGCTGCTCGTTCGAAATCCATCGTTATATAATCAGGATTCCACCAGGGACAATGTTGAACTATTTCATTGAGTTGTTGATACGTTTGGTGAGTTTTATTTGGTAATAATGCAAAAATCGTTGGTATAACAGAATCTTTATATAATACATGTATAACATATAATGGATAGAACATTGTTGGCGTAACCTAAAGAGGAAAAGTGAATTAAAATAAACACGTAATGTCTGTCACTTATGTGTTATGTATGAATGAGTTCGACTAAAATGCTTAATAAATGTTGAGTATTTACCCTAAAAGTGCCGTCAACCAATATGTGTTTAGTATCCTCAAGTAATCGCAATTGTCTATTTGATGAAAATATAATTATTCGATCACTACCAGGACCAGTATCAAATTGTAAAAGTTGATTATTACGTAATGTTACACATAACTTATCCGGAATTTTCTCGAATGTTTTGTCATGTGGAATTGTTGGTAGACCATTGCTTTTACGTTGATTCTGAATATTACGTTTAACATGCTTAAAAACAGGAAGGCGAGCAACAGCAAATTACGTAAACGATTGTCTAATATACTTTGTGTTCCTTCATTGGTATTAAGAGCATGAAAACGCGCATTTTCTTCAAATCTTCTAATATCACTTGAAACGACATTACCAAAATGATTATGATTATCAGATTCATATAAAATTGTTGTTGGTGGATTGTCAGTATGAACTCGACGTTTACATGAGGCTTTACGAGCCTGATCACATTTCTAATATATTTTAGATTCATCAGATCTATCCACTATGTAATTGTAACCATTTAATAATAGAAGTGGCTTACTTTTTTCGGTTGCACTAAACGTGGCCATGAAAGCATATAAAACTTTGATAACTTCGAAACAAAATGGCACAGAAGTGTTCTGTTTATAAGCTATTTAGATAAGATTGTCTTGATCAGTTATGATAATTGATTAATCCAAATTGATTGAAAAAGATTGACTCGAATTGATCCCTTTTGAAAAAACAAATTTGCTTGATCCAAAAAACGGATCATTACTACTGATATCAAAAGAGCAACTTGTGACAGTGATTCATCCTTTTCAAAAGGAGCAGTACGCATTATTATCGTCATGAACAAATAATAACGGGGTAATTTGGTACTATTCTTCTTAATAATGATTAAAAAATTTTCGAGCAATTTTCGTTCTCCCCAACCTTAGAGACTTCATAAGCTCTCGATTGGTAAAAAAGAATTTTTTTTCCATGGAATCTTGACTGAGGTAATTAACTTTTAAAATCAAAGAATTTCAAATTTTCGAATTTTTTTAAAAACTTTTCCCAAAGATTTAGACATAGAAGGGTTTCCAGATCCGGTGTTTGTTAAGTATTGCTATGAGGATCTATTCTATAATTACACAAGAAAATAAAGTTTCTGTCAAGTTGCCTTGGTGCACCGTGTCCAGTAATGAAATGTATCTGGTGATCCCGAATCCGGCCCTATTTTTTCGATTTGAGCAAGTTTTTCCGGTGAAAAATGCAAAATACTGTCAACCCTCAAAAACGAAAAAAACTGCTTTTTGAGAAAATCGCTATTATCTTCTCATAATTTTACTTTCAGGTCTCACCAATGTAATTTTCGCATTCCTCGAATCAAACTGAGTATAGACATGTGGTCTAGAGAGTGATCGTGCGTATCGTATAGTCTGAGGAAATTTAAAAATCGATGGTCCTCCGTTGAGGCGACTTAATTCTGCGACCTAATTTTGTGCTTTCGGTGGAAAGCTAGCACCTTTATTTGAACGCCGTTCGAACAACCGGGTCGCGCGCTACACACTAATGGCTCGATTTTTCTTTTGGCTTTTGGAGACCCGATTTTATGGTAACCCAGTTTTTCAGAAACTCTGAAATATATATAAAACTTTTCTTAATGTAGCATAATTTTAGCCTGCAAATTTCTGATCAAAATGAGACGTCTCCCCCCTCTACAAGACCTTTCTTTGCAAAGTTATAGAATTTACAAGAAAGCCCTAAATGTTCATTGTCATCCCAATGCTACAGAAATAAGAAGAAATTAATTTAGGACTTTTCTTGTATTCTGCTTTTGAGTGTACAACTGAATTAACAAACTGACATTTTTAAATTCTTCTTTATTTCTTGTCGCCATATAGATAACAAGTAATTTTCACTCGATATCAATCGAATAATCCACAACCGAATTATACTCGAACCAATAGAATGTACGAAATGTTTGCATTGTTAATAGTAGTGTTGTGGTCTTATTTTGCTCTGTTATTGAATAATCATAACGATAGATAAGATTCAATTTTGATAAATTTGGTAAATTTGTGCTCATTTCCTATTGTATACCATCCAACACGTCGTGATCGTTATTAGACAAAGTCTAATATGATAGAGATCTAATTTTGCCACAAACTTCAATGATAACTGTGTCAATAAAAGTCGAATATTTTGAAATAAAATATTTTTTAATTTTAAATATTTTAATTTCGATGAAAAATGTTTTGTAATTCGACTGAATTGGTATTGAATCGAATATATCGAATGTATGGTATTGATCGAATAGCAGATATCTCGTTCAATCGTTTGCGTGTGGCTTTTCCACCACTAAATGCAAACTTGTATACTAAAAAACTTAGTCTCACTAATCTTTGTACCTGTGGTGATATTGAAAGTGTTAATCATTATCTGCTACATTGTGTGTTGTATCGATCGCAACGAAATAATCTTGAACAGAAACTCTCAACTTTGGACTTGCCGCAACCCCAAAGTAGTAAATTGCTCTTGCTTAAAATTCTCCTCTCAAAGGAACAGTATTTGATAGTGTACCGTAGTGTTATTGAATATATTCTTTCAACTAAAAGGTTTATGATGTGAAATTTGGTCTGCATCTCTTAGCACACGCGATCCTCGTCTTCTCCTTTTATATCTTTTTCTCTTTCTGTTTCTTATCTTTATTATATATTTGCATTCTTTCTCTGTTATTTTCCATGGTATTTTTTTCATTTTTATTGGCTAGCCAGGACGATAATAATGGGGCTTTGCTCTCTTTTGACCTGTCTCAGTTATAACTATTTGTTTCATCAATAAATAATAAAGTTTAAAAGGAAAAAAAAAATTCGACTGAAATCATTTTCATCTAATAAAATGATGTGTCGCTTAAATATATTAAAACATTTGTCGTCAGTGCACGAAAATTGCAATAGTATATTTAAATGTTCAACATGTGAGGAATCGTTTGGCTCAAATAGTATAATAAATTCTGCACAATCTTTTAATGTTATATCTAAATGAATAATATTTGTAAATCGATTTGGTTCACTAAAGTGTAACATATATTTCATTTGAAGAAAAACTTGTCATGATCATTGATCAAAGTACAGCGTGCACGTATAATTGTCGACATAACCGACAGATCTCGCAAGATCTAAATATTTTTCTCACTCACGTTTATGTAGGATGCACGGATATCGCTCCGATTCATCGAAATTATCGTTTTTGTGATTTCAGTTATACACTCAAAAGCAAAATAGCGGCTTGAATCTTGACGAAGTTAATAACTGGCAAAGTGGCACATAGTCACTATGTAAATAGGTGTTTAGTTTAGACCTTATTAGCATGGTGACATATGTCACTACACCATTTGGCAGAGTTTCTCTGTGTCACTATATCAACTGCTAACTGGCATAGTGCCAGTATTGGCAAAGCGTCTATTGGCATAGTAACAATTTGCCAAATTTTCTGGATTTGCTAATGGTTTCCTGAAGACCCGATTTTCAGAAAACCGGTCAACGATAGCCTAAGGGCAACTTCGATGTTCATGTTCGGAATCAGCACCATCAATTACATACATATGGGCTGCTAGATGTTGGACGGACTCCAGACGAGACACCTAAGCGGTGAAAGTGGTGTCATATAAGGCGCGGACATGGTCTAGCTTACTAAGGGTACAATTCTTATAGATTTGAAGACGAATATGAGCTGGTACTTGCTTAAACTGTCTGTAACACTATAAATATACCCAACAGAAATATCATACGTGATTATACGGTAAAACTTTTACCATCGTTAAAAAGTTGTAGAAACGAGACTGGCATAGTGGTAACACGCTTAAGGCAGGTAACTGAGATAACACTCCATCGGTTAATT